GGGGGGAGTAAGTCCTGGGGTGTAGGAGGAGGCAAACCGGTGCTCAACCTGGAAGCTTCAGACCCAGATGTAGACAAACCGCCCCCTGTGTCACTAGACCTCCACTGATTGGTTAAGATTACTATTGGCATTCGCTTCCTTGTGCGATTGGATAAAGGTATGGCTTGAATCTGAATAACTAACTGACTTTTTCTTTCTCTCCCCTTAGCTGATCAATAGCGTGGTGCTGCTGATTTTGCTGTCTGCCTTCAGTGACCCAGAACGGTACTACCTGCCTCATACTGAACTCAGCACTGACTTTGACTTCACTGATGATGCCAGTAAGTCTGTACCTTTTCTAAATGCTGCACCCATCTCATTTACTGTGGCATCAGTTGCTATAACCCCATTCCCTTAAGGCCTTTTCCAAATCTCAACTTGTTCAGTCCGACTGTGAAACCTTACGCACTGTCCTCCTGGTGTTGCTGCTTATTGTGCTGTGCTCTGAAACTCGTGGAAACTTTCCTCTACTCCTTAAGGTGCCGAAGAGCTGTGCTCTACAATCATCTCTGCCATTTCACCCAAACGTCAGCAAGACCTGAAAAGCACAGAGTCTAACCACCGAGTGTTATCCCACTCCCATGTCTGTAAAGATCTCAAAAATCAGTTGCCAAATGGGACCTATCAAATGCAAAATATTGCAGATGTTGGAAATCTGAAACAAAACATCTGTGGAGAGAGAAACAGAATTAGAAACAGAGAAACAGAGATGGAAAGTCTTAGTTATGAGGAGAGACTGGAAAGGCTGGGTTTGTTTTCCCTGGAGCAGAGGAGGCCAAGGGGGGACCTGATTGAGGCATACAAAATTACGAGAGGCGTGGACAGACTAGATTGTGAGAATCTTTTTCCCATGGCATTAAAAAATTCTATCTATAACTTGATTTCTAGCCAGCAGTTTTCTATTTCCACTGCAAATTACTCAGTAGTAATTTAAAATGGGACCTTTCCTGCATGAAATTGTTCATGTTTTTTTGGTAATTGGTCCACTGGATTCCTCAGAATCGCTTAAAATACCTTCCAAGGGCTGATTTCAGGAGCATTTTTTTCAGTAACTGTACCTTCTCAGGTAAAAGCTGCGGAGACAGAATGCAGATATACCCATAAAGTAGATGCAAGCGTATGAATGAGGGTCAAGGACAGGCCACTTGGCCTTCTGAACCTGCTCCACCATTCAATAAGTGATCTGGTTGGGGTGCTCCTCAGAGGATCCGTGAAGACTTGATAGGCTGAATGGCCAACTCCTGCTTCTGTGTCTATGGCTCGTGCAAAAACACTTATGGAAGGAGGGGAATGCATTCAACTGACTTGATGTGTTTAAGGAAAATGAATTTCTCTGACCTGTTCTCACAGTTTCCTGCAACAACTTGCTTAGACGTGGCGCTTAGAAATAATGTGTGTTTTTCTTCTGTTTTTCTACCTCCTATTTTCTATTTCAGATATCTGCATCGCTACCGCTGTTTCTCTCCTTATGATAACCATTTGTGGAATGGCCACTTATGGTGCATATAAGGTACTGTAAATAATGTCTAAAATCACACAACTGGTCAAATTTGGTGGCTTTTATTTTGGTGATGCTATTCCAACTAATTTGGATATATTTGATCAGATATCCCAAATCTATGCATTTTGAAATGATAACGCAATTCATGCATTTTTTTAAAAATTTGTTCATGGGATGTGGGTGTCACTGACTCTTCCAGCATTTATTGCCCATCCCTAATTGCCCAGAGGGCAGTTAAGATTAAATTACATTGCTGTGAGTCATGGGTAGATCAGATTTTCATCCCTACAGGACACTAGTTAATCAGATAGGTTTTGGCGACAAATGATAGCCATCAAATGGCCACCATTAGGCCAACTGTCTATTCCAGATTTTGCTAAATTCGAATTTTGGCTGACTACTATATGGATTTGAACCCATGCTCCCAGACCATTGGCCTGAGGTTCTGAATGGAGAGGAAAATGATAATACCATTACACCATTACCTCCCCATAAGGAGCCATGCTTCTCCAGAAAGCTGTCTTCAGCGAATTAAAGGACTAACCACTTCCACAACAGACCAGACTATTCTGGTATCTCGGTGAGCCCACTGCTGCAAAAAGGTCTGGTCTTGTCTGGAATGATTTAATAGGGCCTGTTACACTCAGTAGCAGCAGTAGGTATCAGCTACAAGATGCACGGCAGAAATTCACCAAAGATCTTCGGAAAGCACCTTCCAAACCCACAGCCTCTTCCATCTGGAAGGACAAGGGCAGCAGATTCATGGGAACATCACCCCCTGTAAGTCAAAAAATGTGGAGCTGGAAATGTGCAGCAGGTCAGACAGCATCCGAGGAGCAGGAAAATCAACATTTCGGGTCAAAACCCTTCTTCAGGACTGGGGAGGGGAAGGGGAAGGGGAGGCCAGAAATAAATAGGAGGGGTGTGTGGGGACTGAGGGGAGCGTAGGTGAGATAGAGATAGGTGGATGCAGGTAGGAGGTTACTGTGGTTGGTCAGTGGGAAGGGTGGAACAGATCGCTTGAACCACTGCAGTCCATGTGCTGCAGGTAGACCCACAGTGCCATTAGGGAGGGAAGTTCAGCATTTTGACCAGTGACATTAAAAGAATTGTGATATATTTACAAGTCAGGAGGGTGATTGGCTTGGAGGGGAACTTGCAGGGGCTGATATTCCCATGTATCTGCTGCTCTTGTCCTTTGAGATGGAAATGGAATGGGCTGTATAAGAGACTTTGGCAGATTTCTGCAGTGTATCTTGTAGACGGTACGCACTGCTGCTACTGAGCGTCGGTAGTGGAGGGAGTGGATGTTTGTGGATGTGGTGCCAATTGTATCAATGGCACTGTTAATGGCTCGGATACATGACTCCTGTTTTGTGCATTTTGATTTTTAATTTTTTATAATGAGGTGACTGACTGAAAGTGCTTCAATCTGAATTTGTGAATTGTTTTGGAAAGCACTAACTCCATATTCTGTCAATGAGAAGGCAGCTTCACCCCCTAAACCATAAAGATATAACTACATTTTCTGCTACTTAAAGGTGAAAGATAGATTCAATGCTTTGGGTGTAACATCACGTCTGTCTATTATGTCTGTCCATTCCAGATCCTCCTCCGTTCTGAGGAAGAGTCATTAGTTAACTCTGTTTCTCTCTCCACAGATGCTGCCAGACCTGCAGAGTTTCTCCAGCGATTTTTGTTTGCATTCCTGATCTCCATTGACTTGCTGTCCATTTCCAGCCATTCTATTATTATTTGTTGGACTTCATGCATTATTAAATCAGCATCAGACAAATCTTAAAGCAATATCCAAAATGCTGGATCTTGGAAATAAAATCAGAAAATGCAAGAAAATTCTTTCACTGCTGCTATACACCAGAAAGTTAGGCAGTCAGAGATAGAACTGGACCCAATCTTTACACAGGCTTATAAGCATTTTTTTAAGGAGATACAAATTACAAACACATCCATCCTACCCTAACAACCCCAGTTTTTATAAATGAAAACAGAAAATGCAAAAAAAATTCAGCAGGTTATGCAGCATCTGTGAAGAGAGAAGGAACATTAACATTTCAGTTCAATGACCTTTTACCTGTACTGTGTCCATCACAGTGTAACATGAGATAGTAGGAACTGCAGATGCTGGAGAATCTGAGACAACAAGATGCAGAGCTGGATGAACACAGCAGGCCAAGCAGCATCATAGGAGCAAAAGGCTGACGTTTCGGGCCTAGACCTTCTTTTTGTCCTTGTCCCATCCCACACCTTGCTTTAAACCTGCTGTGTCTCTAACTGTTGCTAACTCTGATGAAAAGTCATCGACTTGAAATGTTAACCCCCCCCCCACTCTTTTTCTCTCTCTCTCTGCAAAGATACTGCTTGATCTGCTGAATTTGTTTTTACAATCCTGAAATATCATTCATTAGGTAGACAAGCTGTTAGTCCCATCATTCACCTAGGCCCCAAATATCCCATTGTCGCTTGTCTCACTGTTAGCAGCTCACACTCTCAGCAAGTTGCAACACAAAGAACAGAAACGCAAGGGAAAATATCTAATGAAGTAATGAGATACCCAGTCTAACATTTGGAGGAGATGGTGATGTACCGAGAATGTCGCCAGAGGCCCAGGCTAATGTCCTGGCAAAAAGGCTTCGACTCCCAACACGTCAGCTGATAAAGTTTAAATTCAGTTTATTAGAAAAATACTCATTTCAACCGTGAAGGTCTCATCAGCTGTTGTAAGAATCTATTTTGTTAATTAATATCCCCAGCTAAAGCCATCAGTAGCTTGGTCTGGTTATTTATTTAATTCCAGTAGTGTGGTTGACCCTTAACTGTTAATTCTTGACTTGTAACCTGCTAGTGGCCTAGCAAGCTATTCAGTTGAAGAACATTTATAGATGAGGTAAAGAGACGTTAATCTTTGGCAGTGACACCCATGTTGTTGGGGGTGGGTGGTGGTATCTTATTGAAGGTGCTGTTAATGCCAGGTCACTCCTACATTGGTACCTATATGAAGGGCCATATTTATCAATTCTAGCACAAATACATGAAGTGTCTGAGTCAGATTCCCTGTTTTGCAAAACTTAGCAATTTTTTTGTTTCTTCATTACCTTCCAGCAACTCAGTGCATGGATCGTCCCATTCTTCTGTTACCAGATCTTTGACTTTGCCCTCAATACCCTTGTAGGAATCAGCGTGGTCATCTATCCAAACTCTATTCAAGACTACCTGCGACAACTGGTATGACATGTACATTGTTATGTAAAATAACTTAATACTGCAAGACCAAAGTGATTATAGTGTCTGGAAACATACAAAATTGGAGCAGGAGAAGGCCATTTGGCCCTTTGAGCCCACTCTATCATTCAATATGAACATGTCTGATCATCCAACTCAGTCCCTTATTCCCTGCTTTCTCCCCATGTCTTTTGATCACTTTAGCCTTCAGAACTATATCTAACTCCTTCTTGAAAACAATAAATGTTTTGATTCTTAACCGCTTTCGGGCAGAAAATTTCACAGGCTCACCACTCTAGGTGAAGATATTTCTCCTCATTTCAGGCCTAAATGGCCCACTCCATATCTATAGATGTGACCCCTGTTTCTGGACTCCTCCCACTGTCATTGGTAACATCCTTCCTGCATCTACCCTGTCTACTCCTGTTAGAACTCCATAGGTTTCTATGAGATTTCCCTTCATTCTTCTAAACTGCAGTGAATATAGCCCAAACCAATCCAGTCTCTCTTCACACAGCAGTCGAGCCATCCCAGGGTAAACCTTTGTTGAAGCCCCTCCATCACCAGAACATCCTTCCTCAATAAGGAGACCAAAACTCCACACAGTATTCAAGGTGTGGTCTTACCAAGGCCCTGTACAATTTCAGAAAGCCATTCCTACTCCTTTACTCACATCCTCCTGCTATGAAGATAAGCATACTATTTGCCCTCTTCACCGCCTGCTGCACCTTCTTGCTTACTTTCAGTGCCTGGTGCACGAGGACACCCAGGTCTCATTGCCCCTTTCCCAATCTATCACCATTCACATAACAGTCTGCCTTCCAGTTTTTTGCCATCGAAGTGGAGAACCTCACATTTCTCTACATTATGCTTTACCACACTTTTGCCCACTCACTCAACTTGTCTGACTCCCACTGGAGCACCTCTGCGTCCTCACAGCTCACCGTCCCTCCCACCCAGTTCTGTGTCATCTGTAAACTTGGAGAAACAGGAATAAGGGCCACACACTTGCTCTTCCTGTCGATTTGTCCATAACTGATCTGGACCTGAATTCCAACTCTGCTCCATACACAGGCCTAACAAAAATCCATTTATTAATTGTCACATTTTCAGTTGACCCCCAACTTCAACAGTTCTTTGCAGGAGGAAGTTCCAGATTTCCACTTACCCTTGTGTGTAGACGTGCTTCCTGATATCACTGATCAGTTTGCTTCTCATTGTCAGGTTATATAATTCTATAGGGGTTAGGACAACCTCTCTCTAAAGGAAGTAGTTTCCGTTCTATCTGTTCTGTCAAATCCATTGCTCATTCTGAACAACAAAGTTCGATCACTCCCAAAATATTCAAGGGCATACAGACTGAGTCTGTACAATCAATCTCTGTAATTGAACCCGTTAGACCCTGGTATCATTCTGATGGCCCGGCACTGCATTAACTCCAAAAGCAATATATGTACTAGTCCCATAATTGATGCTGCAATCTACTTCTAATGAGAAAGAGCACTGGAAACAAAGGAAAGCAGGAACAGGGACTGAGTTGGATGATCAGCCATGATCATATTGAATGGTGGAGCAGGCTTGAAGGGCTGAATGGCCTACTTCTGCTCCTGTGAAAGAACAGATGGATAAGGTAGCTGGAGTCAGTTGGAGTAGGATTTGTGAGGTTTATGTGGTAGATAAGTGTATCCCAGGATGTTGCAGAAAACTAGGGTAGAGATATTTGTATCATCTGCTGCTATGGGTAAGGTGCCAGAGGACTGGAGGGTGGCTGATTATAGAATCATAAAATTCCTACAGTGTGGAAGTAGGCCATTTGGCCAATCGAGTCCAACCAACCCTCTGAGGAGAATCCCGCCCAGGCCTGACACCCTACCTATATCTGTGACCCTACATCTCCCATGGCTAATCCACCCTAACCTGCACATCCCTTGCCACTATGGGCAATTTAGCACAGCTAATCCACCCAACCTGCACATCCCTGGGCACTATGTCATGCCTTTATTTAAGAAAGGCTGTAAGGGGAATCCTGGGAACTGTAAATCGGCAAGTCTGACGTCAGTGGTGAGTAAGTTGTTGGAGGGGATTCTGAAAGACAGGATTTACATGCATTTGGAGAGGCAAGGACTGAATCTGAACAGTCAGCATGGCTTTGTGAGTGAGAAATCGTGTCAGTTTTCTTGAGGAAGTGACCAAGAGGATAGATGAGGGCAGAATAGTAGATGTGGTGTACATAAACTTTAGTAAGGCCTTTGACAAGGTTCTGCCTGGTAGACTGGTTAGTAAAGTTAGATTACATGGGTTTCAGGATGAGCTTGTCAATTGGATACAAAATTAGCTTGATGGTAGGAGACAGAGGGTGGTGGTGGAGGTTTGTTTTTCGAACTGGAGGCCTGTGACCAGCAGTGTTCCACAGGAATTGGTGCCAGGTACACTGTTGTTCATCATTTTATGAATGATTTAAATGATATATAAATGATTTAAATGAGAATTTATGAAGCATGGTTAGTAAGTTTGCAGATGACACCAAAATTAGTGGCATAGTGGACAGTGAAGAAGGTTATCTAAGATTACAAAGGGATCTTGATCAGCTGGGTCAATGGGCTGAGGAGTGGTAAATAAAGTTTAATTTGGATAAATGTGAGGTGTTGCAATTTTCTAAGAGTAACAAGGGCAGGACTTACACAGTTAATGATAGGGCCCTGGGTAGTGTTGTCAAGCAAATAGAACACTTCGGGGTTCAGGTGGGTAGTTCCTTCAAAGTTGCATCACAGATAGACAGGGAGGTTAAGAAGGTGTATAGCCTTCATTGCTCAGACCATTGAGTAAAGGAGTTGGGACATCATGTTGTGGTCGTACAGGACATTGGTGAGGCCACTTTTGGAGTACTACATGCTATTCCGGTCGCCCTGCTATGGGAAGGATATTATTAAATCGGAGAGGGCTCATAAAAGATTTACCAGGATGTGACCAGGACTGGAGGGTTTGAGTTACAATGAAAGGCTGGATAGATTGAGACTTTCTTCCCTGGAGCATCGGAGATTGAGGGGTGACCTGATAGAGGTTTATTAAATCATGAGGGACATAGATAAGGTGAATAGCAAAGGTCTTCTCTTTTGGTTAGAGGAGATCAAACCTAGAAAGAGATTAGAGGAGAAAGGTTTAAAAGGGACCTGAGAGGCAACTTTTTCACACAGAGGTTGGTGAGTATATGGAATGAGCTGCCAGAGGAAGTGGTAGAGGCTGGTACGATTACAACATTTAAAAGACATTGGGACAGGTACATGGATAAGAAAAGTTTCGAAGGATATGGGCCAAATGCAAACAAATGGGACTATTTTAATTTGGGGAACTTGGTCAGCATGGATGAGTTGAACTGAAGGGTCTGTTTCTGTGCTGTATGACTCTATGACACTAAGTCAGTTGCTTTAACCAGTCAGAGACAGTTATATTGTATATTTTTGGTACAAGCACAATGATCATTTGCCACCTTTCATTGTCCAGAAGAACTCCCTTTCTCGGGAAGAGCTCAGCTCTTAGTTATTTTGAATCAACCTGTTCAGAGATGTTGTGACAAACCTCCAGGGTGAGTAGAACTTGAATTTCAATGTCCTAGTCCAAAAATAGGAATGCTACCACTGCACCAGAAGACTCTACATAGAGTGTTATATGTTTTCAGCAATTATGGTGTTATACAGTGCCTAGAACTCTAGAAAA